AATGAACTGTGATTTTAATTAAATCAAAAAATGTGGACGGAAATAATAAGCTATCTCGACAAAATGTTTAATAAGCAAGTTGAATGAACTAATTTTGTTTGTTTCTTTTTTGATGAAGTTAGACAAAAGTTACCAAACCGAAATCAATTGGTCATTATTGCGATACAACACTTGAAAACAAGTATCCAATAACTTAGACAAAAACAAAAATGTGTGTATTATTAATTGTGGAACAGCTTCATTTGTTTCGTATATTCTTTTGATGTGGTTTCGTAGTTCGCTGGTATTTTTTAAATTGTCTGTTGCGTGCTGATTGATTTTTGGATGGTATGTTGCGGGGTTGTGTCCCAAAATAATAGATGTGGCGTATGCAATCGAGAAAATGCCACCGGAACATCCATCTGGTTGCAACGTTGCCGGTTCGATGAATTGATACTGTGCTCCGGGGTACAGGCGAGTGGGGATGTTTCGTTGATATACGTACAATCTTTTGCCATGATTGCCCTCTCCGTGTAGACTGTCATAAATCTTCACACGATTTTCAGCATAGATATAGTGCTAGACATAGCTGGCCTGGCCGCTGTATATTATTTGCAGATCGTCTCGTTAAGCTAGAAGTCGTTTGTATCACTCTTGTTTTTGTCCATAGCAGACTGGATGCACGTTGAATGGTATGGTTCTGTTTGCGTTCACCAAATTTATAATGAACATATCGATTGACAAATCATTTAAGAATTCTGTTCCAACAATTTGATTTGTGATTGATTCTAGATCTGTATTCTTTGTAGTTTCACACAAGTCTTCGATTTTGTAGTAAAATTCATCCTCGTCCAACTCGGGAAAATCCACATTGTTGAGAATAAATGAGACTTCAGAGGCGCTATCACATTCGCTATCAGAATCACTATTCAATACCGATTTGTACGAAAAAAAGATAGGTTAGCGGGTGCTAAGTTGTTCCTGGGTCCCTATTAATCTGATGAAATAAATCGAGTGGGAGTGATAAAATCCACTTGGGAGCCTATTTTGGGAACCTCCCGAACAAAAGTTCGATTTTTCAAGGAATTTTAAACTAACATACCGATTTAATACCAAAAAGGTGGGTTAGAGGGTGCTAGGTTGTTCCTGGGCCTATTTTGATGAAATAAATCGGGTGGGCATGATAAAACCCACCTGGGTAGCCTATTTTGGGTACCTCATGAACAAAAGTTCGATTTTTTTAAGGTTTTTCATAGGCTAGGTATCCTAGGGTACATCTGGGGTGGCTGAAAATTTAATGGTTTTCAAGTCTAATGACAGACAAACGTTTGGTACTTACAGAATTTCATTTCCTATTCTGGTGTTTGAGCAATCGCGCTAACAAATTTTTGCGTACAGCGTACAGCGTACAGCGCACAGCGTACAGCGCACAGCGTACAGGGTACGACACACCCACATTAACCTAGCAAAACAACCACTGTATCGTGCTTTTTGGTGTCGGAAATGCATAGAAAAATGGTTTTTCGGGGTACCTAGGTTTTGGAGTGATTACAATACTTTTACTCACGACATGGGCGTGCGAAAAAGTAATATTTGTGAAATTGGATTTCAGAAATTTTCATTCTTCAGCATTCAAACAATTACCTAAGTCATAGACAAGTATAGTTCGGTCCTCTTTGATTCCAGTACTTTGCCTGTATGAAATCGCTGCCGCAACTGGTTCCGAGACGATCTTTAGAATTTCCAATCCTGTCAATTCGGATATAACTTTTATTGATTGTTTTTGTGCATCATTAAAGTAGACAGGAACTGTGATCACGGCCTTTTTGACTAGGGGCTTCACGCACTCAAAAAATGATTCAAAAACAACAAGTATTTATTCTATTGACGTATAATCCGGTAAAATCCATTCTTGCACGCTGAAACTCACATGAATTCACGAAAACTCTCACATTTGAATTGAATGAATATTGAGGAGTTTGGTGAATTTTGGTGAATTTTGGTGAATTTTGGTGAATTTTGGTGAATTTATGTGAGTAGAAAAAATTACAAGAATTTGTATTACCGACCCTTTTCATTGCTAAACACTAGGTTCGACACTTAGTTTGACAGCTAAGTTGGCAAGACTGTGAAATCTAATTTATCGACAAATTCACTAGAATTCACCAAAATTTATTTGTATCGTTTCAAATTCATAACAATCGTTAAAACTTATTACTATTTATTTATCACTACACAAATTCAATGGTTGAAAATTTTGCGTGAAGCCCCTAGCTTTTTGATAAGCTTTCCTAGGCGATTTTCAGCATCGCTCTTCACTTTGCGTAATACATGTATAAGCGCCGATATTTGTTCGGGGTAGAACGATCGTTTCTCGCCTTTGTAATGGACTTGGTATTTATGTCGATGTTGCGCATCCTTAACGATAACGAACGGTGAACCTCTTAAAATTCTTCCCGTCGACTTGTATTCAACACCCAATAATCGTTTCAAGTTGAATATTTCACTGCAATCGGTGACATCACCGATGTCATCATTGCTAGCATCCTTGCCGCCGACACTATAGCCAGTCGCCCCGAACGAAACTACACTTGATGTTGTAGTTTCGCCAACGGCATTTTGCACCGCACTAACTTGTCCCTTGTCCCAAATGCAAATACATGTATTTGTGGTGCCGAAATCGATGCCAACCGCAGCAGCTTCTTCAATGAATTGACCAAGATTTTTTTCTTCCATTTTATTTTTCCTGTATTCAAACGAATTTGCGCATTTCAGTTGCAACAAAAGAGCCTTTTGTAAAGGCTTTCACACAAATACATACAAATATGCGTGCAAAGTCTTTTTGTCACAACTCACTTGTGTCTAGACTTGTATGCACAGTTTAAATTGTAATTTCAATTCTACTACATTTATATTTGCATTTATAATGAATAGAGATTGAATTAAGTTTAAACTTAACTCATTTTGAATGGATCTATTGACTTTCATGGTCACCGAGTGGAACCGAGAGTTTTTATTGTGTATAGTCAACCGGCAACCGCTGATTTTAACCGTTCTAAATCAGCGGTTGCCACTTGACTATATATAGTAAAAACCCTCGGTTACACTCGGTGACCATGAACGATGGTATGGATGCAAAGCTTGAAGTATGCGAGGCATTTGCTTCGGGCGGCAAAATTTCTAGCGGAGTAGCGTTTTTCACGTTTTTAAAAGTGATGACCTTTTCTAGTACCTTTTTTAAAAAGAAATTTGGAAAGAAGGTTGAGTCCTATTCGAATGAAAATAATGTTAAAGTATCCGTATGTGTGACATATACTTGGATGTAAAAGTCACATACTTTTCGTTTCGCTTTCAACAGATGGTGTTACTGCATCAATTTAATCAATGTCCTATCTTTACACAAAACATTATTTTAATTCTTTTTTTAATGCAAAATTTCTGTTTTATCATACTACATGTAATACAGTAATGATTAACAAAAACTATTAAAAAATATTACATTATTTTTGTTCATTTATTCACGTACCTATGCGTGACATCACTGTATTTTTGTTCTAAAAACGAGTTTCGTATTTGTACTAAAATATGAAAACAAAGCCGCTTGATTTGAAAGAAGAATTTCTGAATTCACATTTAAATACATGAAAATACGACAATAATTCAACGCAAATAATTCGTTTCTTCGTTAATTTTCAGAAAAATATTCTTTCTTTTATGAAATATTGAAAACAATAGGGAAATAACATGTAAACGGCAACAAATTACACATTTTTTATCTTTTCGCTCTTTTAGACCAAGAGCTGTTGAACAAAGTACTATAAATAAAAGCTTCATGTCAGATAATGAAATTGTAGGTGCATATAAAGGCCAATATTCAAAATATCATATTGTTTTATCTTCATTTGATACACGTCATAATATCTGCTCGCCGATAACAAGAAAAAAAATTGCTTCACTTTTCGCTCAAGCTTTATGGCAGAATTTTTGTTTACTGATAAATTCGTACGAGAATAATTCAAACACAAAAAATCTGCTCCAAACATTGTACACAACATTTTTTATTTCACATCAAAGTCTCATTCTATTCAAAGAAGTGATGTTATGTGTTTGTTATGCATTTTATCCATTTTGACATGATTACAACATAACCTCACTTCTTTGAATTGAATGAGACTTTGATGTGAAATAAAATAAATAGTCTTACCTCCGTAAGACGAACTTTTCCGCACCGTTTTC